AACAAAATCCATGAATGATAACAAAGCACTGCAATGTAGGGTTAAAAGCAGGGATGACATGTTTAAATTGTGATGTTTTTTCCTTGAAACTTTGACACACTGGGCTGGAGAGGTGGCTTGATGGTTAAGAACACTGGCTGCTCTTTCAGAGGACATGGGTTATATTGCTAACACCCACATGGTGGCTCACAATCATCTGTAACTCCAGTTCCAGAAGATCAGATGCCCTTCTGGTATCCTTAGGCACAAGGCACTCAAATGGTTTACATTCAAATGCCTGATACATATGCAGGCAAAACATCTGTACATACACACACACACACACACACACACATTTCACATTAAAGCCAACCACAGAAACATAAAATTAGGGAAAAGGAAGCTGTTTAGATAGGGAAAGGGAAGCTATTTAGATAATGAAAACTGATGAGTTGTTTCATAAAAGTGGAAGGAATGACATTAAAGTTCAAAAGTAGCAAGGAAGGGAGAAATCTAGAAGCAGGCCCTAAATCTGTACTTTTGTTTTCTTTCTTTGTGGTGTTGGGGCTAGAGAGCAAACCTTGTGCATATGAGACAAGGGTTCTTTCTGAGATACACCCCTAGCCTGTGGGTTGTGGGGGGTGCCTTTCACTGTATAGGCCAGGCTTGTCTGGAATGCTCCTTCCTGCCTTCACCTCCAAGGGGCTGGGAATTCTAGGCATGTATTGCTATACTCAGCTCCTGAATGTGCAGCATTTCAGTTATTCCTGTCATACCCTAGGACCCAATGACCATTTTACATAGAACATAATCTTTGTCATCCAGGCCTCTTGTTAGAAAGCCACTGAGCCAGCTCTTGACCTCCACATGACATGGAATGGCTAGAACTTAAAGAGGAAAATTCCGAACACTCCTCAAAGCTAAAAGTCCCTTTTTGCTGATAGTCTCTAAATAAGGTCCCATGGGTTGTAGGATCAGTGTCTTTTGGGAGCAGGGGTCTCAGAAAATAAGATCCTGCCCTGGGCTCCTTATGAAAGTGGCTTTGGTTGGGCATAGTGACACATACCTTTAATTCCAGCACATGAGGCAGTACTCTTGACTGTCTTCAAGGACAGCCTAGCCTACAGAGTTCCAGAACAGTTGGGGCCACACAGAGAAACCTTAAGTTGAAAACCAATAAAGAACAATAAAAAGAAAGTTTCTTTGTCTACAAGGGAGGCTAAAAAGAAAGTTTCTTTGTCTACAAGGGAGGCACACAAGTGCCAAATCAGTATTAGAGGCCTTGAGAGATAGCTCATTTGGTAAAGTGCTAGGGGATCAGGTGTAGTGAGAAACAAAACAATGGACGAACAAGTGGATTTTATATGACAGGATAAATATAACCTGCTGAATCTGTATAATGTTACTTGTATGTGTGTTTCCAGGGCTCACTGTTTGGCACTGGACAGCCAATTGCTGAGCTCTTCCCTGGAGAAGACCACCTCTCCCACTCCCAGCTCTCCTCACTTCTTTGTAGGGTTGGGGCACTGTGGGCTTTGCCCCATGCAGTCTGACATGTTCACTGTTGTCATCCTTGTTCAACTCACATTTGGACAGTCATACAGTGAGGTTTTATGGGTACAATTTCTGATGTTACTATTTTAAAATTGAATTTTATGTGTATAAGTGCTCTTAACAGCTGAGTCATCTCACCAGCCACTAAGCTTATTCTTAACAGATGTTTAAAGATATCATCATGGGTTGCTTTTCTGAGTTTATTTCTAATCAATTTGTAAGCAATCAAGAAAGATTTTAATGCATAAAATAAAATTCAAACATCTGGATGTGGTGGCTTGAACCGATAATCCCAGATCCTTCAGAAACTGAGGCAGGAGAATCATAAATTCAAAGCCTGCGTGGGCTACAGAGCAAGTTTAAGGCAAACTCAGGGAACTTGGTGAGACCTTGTTTCAAAGTAAAGAATTTTTTCAAAAAAGTGAGACTGACAGTGACAGAGTAGCTCAGTCAATGATAAAGCACTTCCTTAGTGGATGCAAGGGCTTGGTTTTAATCTTCAGTACCAATAAATAGGTAAATTAATAACAAAATTTCCAGAAATGCATTATGTATGCATGTTTCATGTATTCATCACAGATCTATCACTACCTGCTGTGTGCTAAGTGTTGGTCTTAAGAATCAGACATATCCCTATCTTGTCTTTTACCACATAGGACTTATGTTCTATATCCTTTCTTTCTGTTTCTATTTCATCATCTTGAAATAACAACACTTACAGATTTGATTTCTTTACTGTTTTAATACTTGAGTTTATTTACTCCTCACAATGACCCTATAAAGTATGGATAATCATAATTCCCATTTCAAATATAGGGAAAACTGAGGCATTGATGCTAGATCATTTCTCAAGGCACACATCTGTTAAATGGTGTAAAGGGGTTTAAAGCCATTCAATTTGATTTCAGAGTCTCTGTCTCCTCCTCCTTCCCCCTTCCTGTCACCTGTGAGATAGACACCTTAGCAAATACTTAAGCTAGACTATCTTAAGCTAGATAATACTTCATAAACCATGCAGTTTCTGAAGTTTACACGGAGTTGGTATAATGCCTCCCTACTTTCCAACTATGTGTCAGTGTGCTGTTTCCCATTTTCCTTTGGTTTTTATGAACTAATAGTTTTTAGTACAAAGGTGATCCTAAATGACCTCCACCCTTTGGCAGTACAGCAGATAGAGCTCTCTCAAAGGTGCCTTTTGCCCCAACTCTCCCCACTTTTCTCTAAAACTATTTTTTGAGACAGGATTTCTCTGTGTAACAGCTCTGGCTGTCCCCGAACTCACTCTGTAAACCAGGCTGGCCTTGAACTCAGAGATTTGCCTGCCTCTGCCTCCAGAGTGCTGGATTAAAGGCATGCACCACCACCCATCACTATTATTCATTTCATCACCACACATTCTGTCTGTATCTGCAGAATTGCAAATAGAGGCTTGACTTTGGTCATCACTCACACAGAGGCATTTAATTGGTATTTTTTGTTCCAAGTTAAAAGCTCAAATGAAGTCACAAAGGCATTAATTTGGTCTTTCTCAGTTGAGACTTCCTATTTCAGCTTCATGATGTCTTTGAGAGTCTATAGATAATCTGTCTACTGAACAGAGCATGGCTCCTGATTCTGGTAGAGCTTGACAGCAACTCCAGCACTTTTTGTTCCTTAGATGTGTGCTGGGATCTGCACCATGAGGGCTAATGCTGTGGGGATAGTCACTGCTTTCTTAGTGTGTTCCAGTATTGTAACCTAATTGAATGGAATTTGCTGATGGAACTGGCCCTATTCATGTGGTCCTCTAGTCATTGAGCATCCATCTTGTAGGTTGCTGTGCCCAAGGTTTTGCTGGAGGTGCTTCTCTGAGCTATGGTGGTACAGCTACATGACTGTTTAAGTGCCTCCTTGCTTGATTTGCAGCCACACATTCCTGATTAAGAAGCATAGGTAAATGAGGTGATATTTAATCCACCAGTCTTCTGGTCTAAATGCTTAGCTTGTTTCCATCTGTTAAATAACACAACAGTGGATTTCTTTGTGGTTAAATCTTTGTCTTCATTTTACCCACCCACCCCCACCAAACCTCTGGCAGTACTAGGGAATCAATCCTAGAATCTGTCTCTGAGAGTTGTGGAGTATGTGTATGTGTTTATGCTTGTGTATGTGGACACGTATGTGCCAAACCATGTGCACATGTTTATATATGATTAAGTTTGTATGCACATATTATGCAACAGTGTACGTATAGAGGCCAGAGAACTTTTGACTTCCTGCTGGCTTTTGACTTTGTTGAGGAAGGTCTCTTGTTTCAGTTGTACTTAAGGTACCTGGCTGGAAAGCTTCCAGACAGTTCTCCTGCATTCACCCCCCCCCCATCTTGCTGTAGGAATGATGGCATTACAGATGTACACCACATTTGGTTTTTTTACATGGGATTTGGGAACTGGACTTGGGTTGTCAGGTTTTTGAGGCAGATGCTTACATTTGCCGAGCCATCTCCCCAACCCAAACCCAGGAATTGTGCATGCCAAACTAGCACTCTACAACTCATACATGCCACCACTTAGCTACACTCCTAGTCCAGAAGTCAAATTTTAGGGTCAAACCATATTTCTAAGGTGGAATATGCAGTAATGTGCACAGTAGGTGTCTTAGTTAGGGTTTCTATTATGCAATGAAACACCATGACCAAAGCAAGTTGGGGAGGAAAGAATTTATTTGGCTTACACTTCAGCATTGCTGTTCATCACTGAAAGAAGTCAGGAAAGGAACTCAAACAGGGCAGGATCCCAGAGGCAGCTGCTAATGCAGAGACCATGGAGGGGAGCTGCTTACTGTCTTGCTTCCCATGGCTTGCTCAACCCACCTTCTTATAGAACCCAGGACTAGCAGCCCAGGGATGGCACCACCCATCATGGGCTGGGCCATCCTCACTGATCACTAAATGAAAAAAATGCCTTACAGCTGGATCTCAAGGAGGCATTTCCTCAGCTGAGGCTCCTCCTTCTGATGACTCTAGCTTGTGTCAGGTTGGTTGACACACAAAACCAGCCAGCACAGTAGATAAGAAAATATGCTGGTGATTCTGGGCATGTGACTCAGTTGGTATAGTGGTTCACTTGTATGCACAAATCCCTGGGTTTGATCCCCAGTACCTCATAAAAATTGGGCATAGGGGCTGGGAGATGGCTCATGGGTACAGTGCTTGCCTTGTAAGTGTGAGGATCTGTGTTACAATCCTCTGAGCATGTAAAGAGCTTGGCATGGCGGGTGTGCTTTGTAATCTTAGCACTGGGTAGGCAGGGACAAGAGGGTTGCTGCAGGATTTTCTACTGGAAGACAAGAAAATCTAAATTGTTCCTTGGAGTAGGCTCCTTTCCATGACTCTGTTAGAGATCACAGAGTTTTCCTCTACACTCTTGCCATGGATGTGCTTCTGAAGTTCATCACTCAGTGTTAATTCCATTCTTATGTCTTCACAGGGAAGCTTTATGGTGATGTTCCTTATATAGAAGAAAGACACAGACATCGGTATGAGGTATGCCTTTCATCTGAATTGTTGAGGGATGTGGATACTTGGTGCAATGAACCCCAGCGATTGTAAGTAGGCCCTTTGGGAAAAGTGTCCAGCTTCGTAATACCTGTAGGCAAGGCTGCTAAATTTCCCTAGCATCTCTCACTTTCAGAGAAAACTGTTGTGATAACAGAGTAAATGATGTCAGGGTATCACAGAACCTGAATGCAGCAGATAAAGCAGAAAGACTTCTCTAGACCTGTAACTGGACATTTCTCTCCTGCCTGCCAATTCCCGAATAACCACACAGAGGCTGAATATTAATTACAAATGGTTTGACCTAGTAGCTCAGGCTTATTATTAACTAGCTCTTACAACTAAATGAACCCATTTCTATTAGTCTGTGAGGCTCATAGCTTGTTACCTCACATCTTGCTTCCCCATGGCTGCTGGCATCTTCTGACTCTGCCCTTCTTCTCCCTTTATCTCTGCTTGGATTTTCTGCCTGGCTCTATACTGCCTTGGTATTGGCCAAATCAGCTTCTTTATTAACCAGTGGTAATAAAACATATTCACCGGATTCCGAAAGACATCCCATATCATAGACCAAAAACAAGCTTACCATTCCTCCTTAACCTCTGCCTCTTGTTTCTCAGGTTTGAGAAAGATAGATAACCTTCAACAAGGAGCCAAATCCTTCCAGCACAGGAATGAGTTTCTGGATCTTGTATGGTGGATTGTAGCTTTCAGGAACCTTTTCTGAAAGCTCACATTGAGCTTGAGGCTTAGTGCCCCATGACTAAGAGGAGTTAACTGCTGAGATTGCAACAGGCAAAGCATGGCATGTGGAACTGTGAATGGTCCTTCTGGGATTAGTCAGTCAATCATGTTGTGTTTGGCTTTGAGGAATATGAATCTCTGCTTGTTCTTTATTCAAACCAATTTGAACAGTAAGGGCATTTATTAGCTCAGGTCACAGGCAAATTAGAAACACGGTACAACCAGCACTTCTCTTGTCTCCATGGTTCATTTGGCCTCCCTTTTCTGTGAATCTGGTTTGCCCAGAGTGTTCTCTCTCTCATTATAGGATGGTTGCCAGCAGCAACTGAAGTATCGTGGAACTTTTCTTCAGTCTGATTAGGTCACCTTTTTGTTTGTCTGTTAGTTTTGCTTTTTTGAGACAAAATCTTCTTACCATGTAACTCTGCCTGTTAGATGAGGCTGGCCTCAAATTCACAGAGATTGGCCTACTTCTGTCTCCCAAGTGTTGGGATTAAAGGCTTGTGCCACCAATCAATGTTTTGAGACATAGTTTCATATTTCCTAGGTTGGTTTTGAACTCCATATGTACTTGAGGATAACCTTGAACTCCTGGTCCTCCAACAGATACCTCCCCAGTGCTAAGATAACAAGCATGTGCTACCATGACCAGTTTTATGTAGTGGTTGGGAGTGAGCTAGCTTCATGCGTGTTAGGCAAGCACTCTACCAACTCAGCTACATCCCTAGTCCTAATTAACTTAACTTCAATTACCTGTCAGTCCTTGAATTTGTACAACTGACACTGCCATTCTGAACATTGGTAGCCTTAAACCTGGATTTTCACATCAGCCAAAAGTAATGGGTGGTGTAGTCACCATTCTATTGCTGTGAAAAGACACCATGACCAAGGCAGCTCTTAAAAATGAAAGCATTTACTCCGGAATTTGTTTACAGTTTCAGAGGTTTAGTCCGTTATCATCATGTCGGGGAGCATGGCTGCACATATGGAGCTGGAGCAGTAGCTGAAAGATACATCTTGATTCACAGTCAGAGGGGCGGGGAAAGAGAGAGAGGGAGGGAGGGAGGGAGGGAGGGAGGGAGGAAGGGAGGGAGGGAGAGAGAGGGAGGGAAGGAGGGAAGGAGATGGGCCTGGCATGGGCTTTTGAAACCTCAAGCCTACCCTCCCAGTGACACAGTTCCTCCAACAAGGTTATACCTCCTAATCTTTCTAAACCTTCTCAAATAGTGCCTCTCCTTAATGACTAAGCATTCAAATATGTGAGCCTATGAGGGGGCATTCTTATTCAAACCACCACAATGGGTTTGTCATATTTGACTTGGCCAATTGGAGTCAGCTTTTGGAATGGGACAGATAAGAATCCCAAGACCAAAGGAAAGAAGAATTTCAATTCTCAGTCAAACTTGTAATTTGGGGGCCTGGGGAGATGGCTCAGTGGGTAAACTGCTTGCCTCACAAGTGTGAGGACTACAACTTGGATTCCCAGCACCCATGTAAGTGCTGGGCAGTTGTGATGGCCTGCCTATAATCCCAGCATACAGAAGGCTAGAATCCTTGGGGCAAGCTGGGCAAGCTCCAGGTTTCATAGGAAGCCTCATCTCAGTAGGCTATTAAAGAAGACACCCAACATCCACCTCTGGCTTCCATGTGCAAGTACACTTGTGCACATGTACCCATACCCATATATACCCATGAACATGCAAACATGCTTATACACATGCATACTATACACATACACATTTTAAAAATTAGAATTTGGGAATAGATAATGTAAGTTACTTTCTTGTTGCTTTGTAAAATACAGACAAAAGAAACTTAAGGAAAGATTTATTTTGGTTCATGGTTTAGGAGAAATAGGCCATCATTATAAGGAAATCATGATGGGGGAGTATAAGGAAGCTGATACCATTTTGCCAGCAGTCAGGAAGGAGGGAGGGAAGAAGGAAAGAAAAGGGGAGGGAAGAAGGGAGGAATGCTGGTGCTCAGCTTATTTTCTCCTGTTTTCCTTTTTATTCAGTTCAGGGTCCCTAGCCATGGGGTAGTGGTGCTTATATCAGGATGGGTATTACCTTCTTAGTAACTCTTTGGCAACACCCCCATACACATGCCGAGAAGTATGTTTCCCCAATAATTCTAAATCCAGTTAGACTGACAGTGAAGATTAGCCATCAGATTGTTAAGTATACTTAACTCAGGGAAGCAGCAGATACAGGGATGTCTATAAGTAGTTGGTTTCAAGGTTCTGATTGAGAATATTTACAGTACCATAGTCCTTTGTTTTGAATCCTGTCTCTAAGTGATGCAGCATGGACCTCCCAGGTTCATGTGACTTGAATTAGACTTCATATCTCAAGTTCATCATGAATTTAAAATTAGATTTGGGGTGTTGAATATAGAAATTGAGTAGAGGGTCAATGCAATGGAAAAAACCACCAATGGATGCAGGACCTCTTCATTAACTGTTTGAATTGCTCTGTAGTTCAAAGACTTGCCTTTCTTGTATTTCCAGGTAAACCCTAACCTGGTCAACCAATTTGAGAAGAAAGACCTTTGTTTTGTTGGTCAGGATGTAGATGGGAAGAGGATGGAAATTATTGAACTGACAAGTAAGTGGGTTCTTTGTTTCTAGAAAGCTTCATGCTGACTAATTTGGGATCTAGTTCATTGTCCCCTCCCCCAATTCCGGGTCTCTTGAAATACATACAGAACTTCAGAAAGCAAGGAAAACACATTGCATATAATCCTTATCATTTTGGACCTGTTAGTCTGGACTTAGCATCAATAGCTGTATTTTCCCAAGTCTACCAATTGTACAAGTAGTAGGCATCTTTGCCATTTCCCCTCTCCTGTGTTAGCTCTAAGCTAAATGTTCTGCAGAAAGCAGACAGCTCACTGTCCACTGACTGTCTCCTTGCTTTTCTCATTGTTTTTGGTGGCAATCATGGATGTCTATTGTATTGGTGTCCCACCTCCTCTTCTGGCTCTTTCTGCTGCTTGTGCTTGAAGGGCAACCTTGGACAAGTCACTGAATTTCCAGACACTAATTGCTGCATTTAGAGTTTTTCATAAGACCAAACAAGGGACTAGAGATGTAACTTAGTTGGTAGAATGCTTGCCTAGCATGCCCAAAGTCCTAGGTTTTGCCCCCAGCACAGTATAACCTAGGCAAGGTGGCACACTCCTGTAAAGTAATCCTGGCAGGAAGAGCAGAAGTTCAAGGTTATCCTTGGATACATATTGAGGACAGCCTAGGATACATAAAAACCTGTCTTCAAACAAACAAACAAACAAAACCACAAAGACTAGACTTCTGTTGAGGAAGAGCACAGAGGAGAGCCTGTAATCGAAGTCCTTGGAAAGTTTTGATTCAGGGACATTGCTTTGATTTAAAGACCAGCCTGGGCTCATAGTGAGAGGCAGGCTTGGGTTACAGGAAATAAATAAGTAGCACAGATACTTTATATGACTGAGATAGGAGACCCTGAAAGCATAGGCCCAAAAGCACGTTTGTTACTAACAAGACATAAGGCCCTGCAAGGACATGGTATGCCTGAGGTCTTAGCTTGTCACAAGGGTCAGCTCTCTCTCTCTCTCTCTCTCTCTCTCTCTCTCTCTCTCTCTCTCTCTCCCCCCTTGTGCATGTGTGTGTGCTTTTTCCACATTTTCAAATGATTAAAAATGTTAAAAGAATATTTGTGTATGAGAAAATAATTATGTAATTATGTGACATTTAAGTTTCTGTGTCCATAAATAATTTTATTGGAGATTGGTGTAGGGGTAGAAAGATGTGACCTTTTCCTCACTCATTATAAAGGTCACGGCTGACATTCCTGTGACACAAGATTAAAAAGAGAAAAGCAAGTGGTAGGTAGCTCAGTGGTAGGAGGCCCTGGGTTCAGTCTTAAACTCTGGAAGAAAATAAAGAAATAAAAGAGAAAACCATGTTTCAGTTAGCTTTTCTGTTGTTGTGATATACCATTATGACCAAAAGCAACTCGGGGAAGAAAGAGTTTATTGCATTTTACAGGATGTGTGTAGTCCATCATCAAGGCAAGCTGAGGCGGGATCTTGAAGTAAAACCACAGAGGAATGCTGCTAATTGGCGTGCTTCCAGACTCACATCTAGCTAGCTTCCTTATATAGCCCAGGGCCACCTGCCTAGGGATGGTATAGCCCACAATAGGCTGACCACCCCTACATCAATTAGTAGTCAAGAAAATATTCTACAGATATGACCATAGGCTAATCTGATGGAGGCACTTCTTCAACTGAGATTCCCTCTTCCCAGATGTGTTAAGTTGACAACTAAGATTAGCTATATAAATCTACCCCTCATCAATGTGACTGTTAAACCATAACTTTTTCTTTCTTGTTCTCAAGATCTCATGTTGGTATCACAATATATGTCAATATATTGAAAATTTTAATGCTTTAAAAGTTCAGTATCTCTTTAAAAGTCCAACAGTGATTAACTATGGGCTTTTGTAAAATTAAAAACAAATAAGCAAATGAGTTATATACTATCTTATTTGAAGAGAGAAGAACCAGGGCTCAGGTACAATCAGATCAAAGAAAACCAAAATCTTAACAGTGTAAAAAAAACTCCATATCCACAGTTTGGAACTCATTCATGACGTTCTGAGCTCTAAAAGGTTTGGGCATTCCCACGTCTCTTCTCTGCCACCTACAGCACACAGCTTGTGTTATAGGTTCAGGCTGGCTTCATTCCACACTTGCTGCCATCCTTGGCTGTTATTCCAAAGTCCTAGAATCTCCAATAGTCTGGGGTCTTCACTGCATCTGGGGTTTCACCTTTATCAGTGGCCTTCCTGGCCTTCCCTGGCTTCTCTTCTGGGATTCTAACTCTGCCACATGGCATCAAGTCTTATCTTCTCTCCATGGCCCTTTCAGTTCTTCAGCATTCATGCTGACAAAACCAGTAGCACTGCTAGGTGTTTGTGGTGGTGTATGTCTTTAATCCCAGCACTGGTGAGGCAGAGGCTGGTGGATCTCTGTGAGTTCAAGGCCAACCGTGTCTACAGAGCTAGTTCCAGGTCAGCCAGGCCTACACAGAGAAATCTTGCTCAAAAAAACAAAACAATCCCCCAAAGTACCATGTAGGCCACTCTTACACATTAATAAGGTAGACACTGACAAACTTAGAGAGGAAAGGGCTTATTTCATCTTACACATTACAGTCCATCATCAAGGGAAGCCAAGGTAAGAATGCAAGGCAGGTGCTTGAAGCAAAACCCATGGAGAAATGCTGCTTGCTGACTTGCTACCAAGATTGCATCCAGATACCTTTCTTATATAGACCAGGCCTACCTGCCCAAGGCTAGTGCTGCCCACAGTGAGCTGGGCCCTCCTGCATCACTTATCTGTCAAGAACATGGTGGCCCACAGACGTGACCACAGGCCTCTCTGGTAGAGGCAATTCTTCAGCTTCCTCTTCCTAGGTGTGTCAGGTTGACAAGATTAGCTATCACAAAGCATAACAAGTCTATTTAGTAAGGTTCATGTGACACAGGGGCCTTCAGAAATGAATACCCAAAGACCCAGGGAAAACTTTTTATTCTTTTTCTTTTTTTTTTTTTTTGGTTTTTTGAGATAGGGTTTCTCTGTGTAGCTTTGGAGCCTATCCTGGCACTCACTCTGGAGACCAGGCTGGCCTCGAACTTACAGAGATCCACCTGCCTCTGCCTCCCGAGTGGAAAACTTTTTATTCTTATCTTTGAAGAGGAATAGCCAGTCTTGTGGAAATGTGCTAAGGCATAATAGGCTGAGGGACCAGCAAGACTGTTCAGATTCTTGACTTCTCTTTGCCGCATTCTTCCCTCACAGATGGAGGGAAGAGTCCCTCTGGAATGAGGATCTCCTCCCCCCATTGATTTTGTTTTTGTTTTTGTTTTTCTGAGATAGTCTCATGTATTCCAGGCTTGTCTTCTTCAACTCAGTACCTGGCTGAGACTTGCTTTGAACTCCTGATGTCCTTGGCTCCACCTTCCAAATGCTGGGATCACAGATGGGGGCTACCATGCCTGGCAGGAATGAGGGTATTATGACCTACTTTCAGGCATGGGAATTCCAACAGTTTATGCTGGCACTCACACACAAAGGAAGGAATGGTCAGAGTGACCTTGCTTCTGACAATTCTTTTTATGTTGCAGTAAGAGAGTTCCATAGTTAGGAAAGAAACTTCATGGCTTGCAATGCTTAAAATATTTATTATTCAGCCCTTTACAGAAATATTTGCAACTCCCAGTCTAGATCCATGGGTGTACACTTCATTTGACAAACTTGAACACTTGGGAAATTTCTTCTTGATCTCTTTGTTTGTCTGGATGTTCTCTTGGCATGTTCATTTTACGTCAAACTAAACTTAAATGCTCTCCAAATTCTTCCTCAAGATGATTTATATGAATGTACCATTAGTCTCCTCTCCTGTGAGTTTCTTACTCTCTCTGCCTTTGATATTTGGAGCAAGATCATTCTTTGTTGTTGGGCTGTCCTGTGTGCTGTGTGGTATTTGTCAGCATCCCTGGCCTCTGGCCAATGGATACTAGCAGCAGACCTGCTTCCCCCTACCCCTTAGTTGTAGTGTTTCAAAACCATCTTTACTTTGTTCTTTACAGAGTTGGGGGATAGGTATATCTTCCTGGCAGAGTGTTTATCCAGGATGCACAAGGTCCTGGGCTCAATCCACAGTACCTCAATGCCAGGTGTGATGGTGCATGCACTTGGAAGGTAGAAAGAAGCAAGAGTATCGGCAGTTCAAGGTCATCCTTATGTACATTGATGTCTGCTTGGGCTATAAAAGACCTTGTCTGAAAAACCAAACCAAACCCAAACCAACCAATCAACCAGTCAAACAAAAACCATCTGTAGACACTGGCAAATCAAGAACCACCACCTACCTGATTAAGAACCATTCTCCTAGATACTCAACTTGACGTTGGACTATTAAGCTCTTCCTCCCCTTCACACCCCAACTTGTAGTCACTTGTCAAGTGCCACAATGTCTACCAGTGCAGAGAAAGTGTTTGAGATTGCCCTTCTAGTCCCTGCCACCTTAGCCTCACTACATGATGGCTTCAAGTCTGACTTGTCCTCAAGTTCCTCCCTGCCTCTAGGTTCTCCCATCTCTGGTACTTCCTAAGCAGGATGGACAGGGCTCTGGCTTTGTAGTCTAGTCATGCTAATTTGTTTGAAAAAGCACTCTGATTTGTTGAATATGAAGTACGTTTGGATACTCCAAAATGGTAGCTTGAACTGGGTGGGTATGGTGGTGCATGCCTGTAATTCCAGAATTTGGGAGGTCAAGCAGGAGGATCACTGCAAGTTTGAAGCCTTTCTGTGTTATGTAGTAGGCTCCAGGCCAGCTAGGTCTATGTGAGGAGACCATATTGACAAATGAATAGCTAGGCATGGTGGCTCATGTCTTTAATCCCAGCACTTAGGAGGCAAAGGCAGCTGGATCTCTGAGTTCAAGGCCAGCCTGGTCTACATAGTGAGTTTCAGGACAGCCAGGGCTACACAGAGAGATCCTGTCTCAAACAAACAAACAAACACAAATACATAGAATAAAATGTTAGAATGATGTTGTAGAACCTGCTTTTTCAACTTATTTGCTTTAGAATTCCAGACTCTCTTTACAACTTGACAACTTTTTCTCCATCTCAGCCCATGTCATAATTCTCTGATTTAAATGCTCTTTTCCATTTTTCTCCTTTTGATGCTCCATAATCTATTTGAGTACTCCAAGAATCCCAAACAGAAGGGGGGCAGGGGAGGATGAATCCCAAACCAGGAGGAGACTTGATGTCGGGGATGGCTGCCTTGAACATAATAGCCTCTTATCTGGACTCTGAAAGAAAACAATGGACATTTGGCATGCTCACTAGATGCTTGATCCTAAAGCACCTGCTAGAGACTTCATATGTGCCTGTGGTAGGCCTCACAAAGTGGTCAGTGGATGTTAATTCTCCTTTATGGAGGAGGCTGGAGTACAGAGAGGTTAAATAGCATGCCCAGTACCATTGATCTAGGCATTGGGAGGCAAGGAGTAAACTCAGGTTGTAGCCTTCTTCTATCCACACCTTTAAGGCATTTTAGTTTTCTCTATTTCCATTGGGTCTTCTGCCTAGAGTATATTTTGTGGTGGTTATTATTGTTTAATTTTGTTTTTTTTTCATTAGCTCAAATAGTCCTAAAATACACTATGCAGCCCAGCCACCAACTTGAGATAATCCTTCTGCTCCACCTTCCCAAGTGCTGGCATTATAGGTGTAAGTCACTCTGTCTGGTTGCCATGTAGTTTTGAATGAGAATAGTAATGGTGTGTTTCAGGAGTCATTTTGATGTTGAATTAAAGTGTGATCACTGATTGTTGTTGAAGGCTACCAGCCTATCTTGGCTTGTGAGAAGAGGGCAGAGTATTTCTTAAACAACTGTTTGTTTACTTTGTTCAAGTACTTATTCTCTTTTCATTCTCCTGCTTCTCTTATTGTCAGCAAATACCGAGAGGCCACTTTCTTCAAAGAGATTTAGATTCCCATTGACGCCTTCAGATTTAATGAAGGCTGGGAAGGAAATGAGAGCTGCTGTAAAACCTTGCAGTTTTTAAAAGCTGACTGCAAGGGAATTCATTTTATGAAGGAAAATTCCCCAGAAGATTTTGATCTTAAGTACCCTTTAGAAGCACAGCCATGAGTCTCTACTGCCCCTTAAGGATTCTGAGAGGAACAAGGCTTGAGATTTGTAGAATGTCAAAATCTGCTTAAAAGCGATTAAGAACATTATTTTTAAAGGTACTTTGTTTGACTGATAGGGCATTATCAAAATAAAAACTCTTTCATCATTCTTCATATCCACATAGAGAATTTGTTTGGATAAAATGATTCTGAGCAATGATCCATTCATTTAAATAGTCTGTCCCTGGCTATGACATGATCTCTGTCACAGCATCTCTCTGTAGTTCTGCAGAAACAGAAGTACTGTCTTTTTTCTTTCTAAGACATCCCTAGATATTATGCTATAATGTTTAATGTGTTTTACTTTCAAATTATATTGCTCAATTTCTTCTCTAAGTGTGGATGACTATTCTTTGTTTTTAAAATAAATTTCGGTTTATTATGTGTTTTTAACTTATATTTATTTACTTATTTGTAGGGGTAAAGGGTGGGCCTCATGCCTTGACTTGTATATGAAGGTTAGAAGATAGCTTTTGATTCTTTCTTTCCACCACATGGGTCCCAGGGATGGAATTCAGGTTTGGTGGAGGCAAGTGATTTTACCTGCTGAGCCATTTCCTAATGCCCTTCATTTTTTGTTTATTTTATTTTGTTTTTGTTTTTCTGAGACAGGATCTTATTATGTAGCTGAGGCTTACCTGGAACTTACAGTGTAGATCAGGTTGCCTTCAAAGTAGTGGTGATCCTCCTGTTTCTGCCTCCTGAATGCTGGAATTACAGGCTTGTACCACTATATCTAACTGTTCTAATTTGCTTTTTCTTGCTATAAATACTATGACCAAAAGTAACTTGCTGAAGAAAGGGTTTACTTTGGCTTATACTTCCAAGGTCACAGTTCATCGTTGAGGGAAATCAAGGCAGGAACTGAAGCAGAAACCACGGAGAAACGCTGTTTACTGGCTTAGTCTCTAGATCATATTCAATTTCTTTATACATCCCAGACCCATTTACCTAGGGATGGTACCACTCACAGTGGGCTGGCCCTCCTTCATCAATCAAGATTATCTCTTAACAGACATGGTCATAGGTCAGTGTGATCAAGGCAGTTCTTCACTTGAGGTTCCCCTTTCCCAGGTGACTCTAGGTTATATCACATTGACATTGAAAACTAATGAGGACACTGACATTTGTTTTGTTTTGAGACAGGGTCTCCTGTAGCCAATGATGGCCTTGAACTTGAAGTGTAGCTAAAGATGACCTTGAACTCTTGGTCTTCCTGCCTCCACCTTTGGGGTTATGCCCCTGCACCAACATACTAAGCTCTTTTCTTCTTTTGTTGAGAGAGAAGGTATCACTCCCTGTGCTAAGCTCTTATAGCTGAGTAGCTGGGCAATTCAAGGTGGCTTCTGTTTACATATAGACTATTCCTCGACTGGATTTTTCTGAGGTCAGACCTGTCTAGGAGAATTTGCTCCAATGAAGAAACTATTCAGCCTGCTGCTATACCAGCTATTGAATGCTCAATTAATTTGTGTGTGTGTGTGTGTGTGTGTGTGTGTGTGTGTGTGTGTGTGTGTTTGCGTGTGCTTGCTATGGCCATGAGATGGGGTCTCTCAATGAACTGGAAACTCCTCATTTTCTGCTAGGCTGGCTGGCCAGGAAGCTCCCCAAAACCTCCTGTCTGCACTCTCCTATGCTGGGATTATAGGCATGGAGCAGTGGTGCCTAACTCTTGCATGGATGCTGGGGATTTGAACTCAGGATCTCATGCTTGCTTAGAAATGCTTTTATCAATTAAGCCATTTCCCCAGCCTCAGGTGGAGGGTAGCTTGAAGTCTAGGGATACTACAGAAATTGAGCCAACAATGAAAGGCCTTCCAGAAGCAGGCTAGGGCTGGGGATGTAGCTAAGTTGGTAAAATGCTTGCCTAGAATAGATGAGGTTCTGGGTTCAATCCCAAGCACTGAATAATCCTGGTGTAGTGGCACACACCTATAATCCTAGCACTTAGCAGGTAGAGGTAGGAATATCAAAAGTTCAATATCATTCTCAGCTATAGAGCAGTTCAAGGGTATCCTGGGCTATATGTTACCCTATCTCAAAAGAAAACAGAAAAGTAGGCTGATGTTCAAGAAGGAGACTTCATCTTAGCACTCAAAACTCTTGCTTCACTTTCTTTGTCTAACACCATCACCACCACCTCAAAAAAAAAAAGAAATTCTAGGTCTCTAGTAAGTGAAATGTACTTTGCAATTTGTAATTTTATTCCAAAAAATGGATCATGAAAATAACTCTGTTGGAAAGTTAAATAATCACCTTGGTGCTTAGGGTGGGTTGGTATTCAATTTTATGGCAGCCTTTCTAGTGTTTCTCATGCCTGTTTGATTCAAGCACTTCATCCTTGCTTTCATTTCAGGTCATCCTTATTTCATCGGTGTCCAGTTCCATCCTGAGTTTTCTTCTAGGCCAATGAAGCCTTCTCCTCCATACCTGGGGCTCTTACTTGCAGCAACCGGCAATCTGAATGCCCATCTGCAACACATGAGCAGACTGTCACCCAGGTAACTAGCTTAATGCTCCTAGCAATGGACCAAGATGCATGGTTACTAACATCTTAGCTTTTCCACAACATTTAGTATCATTATGGAATTTAAGTTTTGAAAAAAGTATGTATTTTATTTTTTTCTGCATTCTATTCTTTAGTATCATGGCTAAAGTCTTTCCTGTGGAAAGATCTTATAAATCATAACCCCAGTGTTTTCTTCTAGCATTTCCCTGCTGGCTAAGGATGTTGAGCACTTTCTTATGTGCCTTTCAGCAATTTTAGATTCCTTTGTTGAGAATTCTCTATTTAGTTCTGTACCCCGCTTTTATTTGGTGTTTTGGAAACTAGCATCTTGAGTTCTTTGTAAATTTTGGAGATCAGCCCTTTGTCAGATATGGGGTTGGTGAATATCTTTTCTGTGGGCTGTGGTTTTGTAATTGTTAAGATCAAGGTAGTGATTAAGATTTCATTACATTTAAATAATAGTTTGGGTAGAATTTATATCTGTACTTGTTCTCCTCTGATAATTTGTATACATTATGTGTAGAAAGTTTAGATATGGAAGGAACTACTTAGAATATTCTAGACTTAGGAAGAGTGATTGACTATCACAGTAATGCTGCATGTTGCTTGGACTATTACCCTTGAAAACAGCTATTGCAAGACTGCAGTTGAGATCAGGGAGCATTGGTACAAAGGATGTCTGTGAGCTTGTGTTACACAAGCCTTATAATGGCATTGTTGTTCAGAGAAGCTCACCGCTCTAGTGCTTTGCTTTTCTGTGGATTCATCCAGGAACAGCTTTACATGGCTTACATGCCTGCTGCCTTACCAAATTAACAATCACTCTTTGCTGTCTTTAACTGGAGCAGTAGCTTTCCAACTGTGTCTGAGCGCTACCATAAGGAGCAGGCTAAGATTCTCCAGATTCTTCCTGTTTCAGATATGGTCTCCAAATTGCCTGGCTGTGTGCTATTGTTCTGAACAAGAGATTTCATATGATGAAAACATCCCTGGGTCCTCAGGCTGCACAGTTTATGTTTCAGATTGAAAATTCCAATGGGGAATTCCAAATCACATGTGTGCTATGGCATTTTATGGCTACCTTATGTTCTCTATTATTCCAGATTCTCCTGTAGGAAAGGAGGTGATTGATAATGGAGCAAGTTAGTTGGCTGAGAGAAATTATACACTGATAAGTATCTGGCTGTTTGCAGGCATCAGCTAACAAGTCTATGTGTGTAGTTTGGGTAGTCTGGCTGTCTTATCCACCTGCTGTGTGAGGCCTATTGATCCCTGGATGGAGGCTGGCATTTCTGAGTGAAGCTCCTCCATAGTTGAGCACTTGCCTGAAACAGCTGAGCCAGATACAGTCTTGGAGGGAAGAAAAGTTCTGTTAATGGAGACCTTTGAAATTTCAGCCAACCTGTAGTCCTCTATGGTTGTGCATTAATCACAAGTTAGTGCCTTTCCTTTTGTCTGACTGTCTACCCGGCACACAGTTGGTTCTCCACTGACGTGGTGAGTGCAGGCAGCAGAGGAGGGTGGTCTAAACCTGATATATTGCAGGGATCTCAATAAAGAATGGTGATTATTGGCAGGTGTGTTTGCACATGCCCATAGTCCTAGCACTCCAGAGATTAGAGGATTACTGCAAATTCAGTGCTGGTATGGTCTACACTGTTGGTTCCAAGACAGCCAGGGTTACATATCAAGACCCTGCTTCAATAAAGTAAAACAACCCAAAAAAGTCTAGGAAATGTAGCTCAGTAGAATGTCTGCCAGCATGTATGAGTACTGAGGCTTGAGCCCAGCACCACGTAGCACCATGCTGCACCGCTTGACAATGCATGCCTTAATCTCAGCACTTTGGAGGCAGAACCAAGATCAGAAGTTCAAGGTCATTAAGATTAGCCTGGACTATGTGAAACCTTGCTCAAACAAACAAACACCCAACCCACCAAAAAAAAACCCCAATAAACAAATCCCCCAAACCACAAGAATGGTGACAGACACCAGGATTACAAAGGACTTTTTACCTCAACTGCTCTCTGGCACCTTCATGGGTTTGCTGAGTTTTGAATGGCAGGTGACTTGTCCTTTGGCCACACACTGATAGAAGCTGAGTTAGACCTGTGTTTCTTTCAAACAAGATTACTACTTGTAAACATCTCGAGCATGAACACTGAACGAATGACTGCCTTCCCCTGAAACTGTCTCTGATGATACTCAACTGTATGGCACATGGGCAGCCTATGTCTTCAATGTGCAGAGTGTAAACATTCTTGGCTTTAATAAGAACACCTGAGCTGTAACCTCTGCATTCTGCCCAGTAGAGAATATTTATCATTGAGCACTTGGGAGTTGTAGTAAGAATATTGTTTAGGGATTTAGAGCTGGTGAGCTAAATTGTCAGCCCCTCTGTTATCTGCAGAATGGCTGAAGGCTAATTTTCCCTAGTCTTAGGCTTACAGCAGTTGGCTCAAGGGCAATATCATTCTAGGGTGGTATTTTTCAAAGGTTTTTTTTTTATTAATTGCTGAAAAGTACATGCTTAGTGAGTAAAGGTATTTGCTGCCTAGCCTGACAATCTAAGTTCGGTTCCCAGGACCCACCTGGTGGAAGGAGAGAACTGACTCCCACAAGATGTCCTCTGCCCTCCATGCACACACCCTCACGTGCCATTTAAAAGCACATGCAGCTGGGCATGGTGGTACATGTTTTTAGTCCAAGCGTTCAAGAGGCAGAGGAAGGCACAACTCTTTGAGTTTGAGGCTTAGCCTTGTCTACTATTGAGTTCAGGCCAACCAGGACTACACAGTAAGACCCTACCCCCAATCCCCCAAAAAAAGAAGAAAGGGGGGAGGGGGTAGAAGAGGAGAAGGAGTAGCAGCTGCCACCACAGCCAAGTGTAATGCTTCACACCTATAATTCTAACACTTGGCAGGTTCAGGTAGGTGAGTCACTATGGGTTTATGCCAACCTGAGCTATGGATTGAAACCTTGTTTCAAAATATAAAATACAAAATACTAAACAGCAACAACAAAATAAACTAAGAGCCTTGTTTTGACAGTCCCACCTAAGAATATACACATGTTCAGTAATTTTTGAGTCAAAATCTGAATGTGTTTTTATTCACAGGTAATATTTATGACTGACACAGTGTGCATGCATATAGTGATCAGTCATGGACAAGATGTAAGCAGAGTTTGGAGAAGTCCAGTTTTAAGTTTTCTGTACCCCCTTACTCCCTTCAGTGATATCAAGTGCACCTTCATTCCAGCACTAACATACGTGTGTGTGTGTGTGTGTGTGTGTGTGTGTGTGTGTGTATGTATGTGTTCTTTCTGTCCATATAACTTCATTTGAGACTTGGAGTTGGGGGATTTTTACTAAGGGCTGGTCACACACATGTTCTCTGCCTGCTATCCATCAAAATTCCAGTTGCCTGGAAGGAAAGCAGTAGTCATCATAAATCACATTATACAAACAATGTAGATTGAGAAAAGCGACCTGATTCAAGTTAGTAGTGGAGAATTCATTCTGAAAGCCATCAGCTACAGACTGACCCTACAAGCCTTTTGAAAGATGTCAGCTGCCAGGTTAATTCTTTTTGGATAAGTACAATTAATCCATTTTTAGAGTAAATAAGTCTAATGGGAAATTACAGTCCATTCAATAAGTAATTGTAATCTTTGGCACTATGCCTCTTTCTGTGTCTAAATATAATCTGTCCCATTTATAAGAGGTAAACACAAGGGTTGGAGAGATGGCTTAGCCATTGAAAATTTCTACAGCTCTTCCAGGGGACCTCACTTTGGTTCCCAGCATCTACATCTGGCAACTCAAAGCCATCTATGCCTCCAGCTCCAGGGAATCCAACACCTTCTTCTGGTCTCCTTGGTTACCTGCACACAAGTGGTATTTACTCACGTATGTATGTATGTATGTATGTATGTACATATGTATGTACGTATGTATGTGTGTGTTTTAAAAAACGGTAACCACAAGTTTGAATGGTCTTGCTACTATAGTTACAGTGGAGTAAGACTGTTTCATATAATTATAAGAAAAATTTAGAAAACTTGGACATGTGCCAGCAGTAAGGGACTAGGAACACAGCTCCTCAGTGTTAGTCTCAGTAGCTTCAGGAATTCCCTAGACTTTCAGGGACCTTGATTCATACCAAACTGGAGTTTGTGATTTGGACACTGAAAGATAATTTCAGGACTAGCTGGTATAATGAAGAAGAGTTACAGATTTTATTGAAGATATTTTAATATAGATGGTTAAGAAAAGAGAGGTGCTCAGAAGAAAACACTACATGGTGAGAGCATAGTGTGGGCTTCTCTGAGACTCTCAGAAGGCATGACATACACAAGTTACATCTCAAAAGGTTGCTTAGAAATCTTTTTCTCTTTTTCTTTTTCATTTAATAAGAGATATCTGGGGTGGCTCTGGAGATGCCTTGGATGGCATTATAGTCTGGTAAGGAGAAGCCAGGAGCCACTGGGGTTGCATTAAGGAGTTTAGTATGTGTCTTTTCCAGATAAATGGAGTTCTGATGAAATTCCTAGAAAATGTTTTCTAGCTAGAAAGGGGAAAAGGCTTATTTTTCAGATTTTGTTTATTTTTATCTTCTGTGTGTGGCATGTTTTGCCTGTATGTATATCTGTACACCATTTGCATGCAGTCCCTATTGGGGCCAGAAGAGGGTGTCAGGTCTTCTGGAACTGGAATTACAGACTAATGTGAATCACCATATAGGTGCTGGGAACCAAACCTTGATCTTCTGGAAGAGCAGCCAGTGAATTCTTTAAGTGCTGACCCATCTCTCCAGCCCCCTCCCAAGGGCATTTAAGTAGCTAGTAACTAATTGTGCTGGAATTCTAGATTCTCTATTGGCAAGAGACTTTATTGAATTCCAGAGTGAGGATCTCCCTTCTGCTTTTCATGTCCCCAAAATGTTCCTGTCTTTCTATCATACTATATGTGTACTAAGTAGAATATGCTAA